GGGGGAATACATTTGGGGGGGGCAAAGAGCAGGGTTGTTGTTTTTAGCAGGAACTCAGGGGAACTGAGTTCTCTTGCATTTTTTAAAATCAAATAATTTGGGTTTTTGTCTGTGTGTGTGTGTGCTGGAACAGATATAGTTACAGGGAACCAGGCAGAGGGCCTTCTCGGTAGTGGCACCCACCCTGTGGAAAGCCCTCCCACCAGATGTCAAAGAGAAAAATAACTACCAAACTTTTAGAAGACATCTAAAGGCAGCCCTGTTTAGGGAAGCTTTTAATGTTTAATAGATTATTGTATTTTAGTGTTTTGTTGGAAGCCGCCAGATGGGCGGGGTATAAATAATAAATTATTTATTATTGTTGTTGTTGTTGTTGTTATAATACACCCAGTGCCTGAGCCATCCTATATATATATAATATATATATATATATATATATATGCTTTCGTAGATTTTCACGGGTACAGGAATGCAGGTTTTGGTGTCCTCGGGTGTCTTCCCGTGTAAAAGTTGGGGTGTCTAGGCGACGTTTCGACGAGGTCTCACTCGTCATCTTCAGGCTGGTGCTTTCGGCTTCTTGTTACTGGAACAGAGCAGGATCTCAGTGTTTGAGTTCCTATAAATACTGTTGAGGGGGTGTGGTGTATAGCCTCCAATGTTCTGGGCAGAGAGGAAGTTCCCAGGTTAGTGTGCCTTTTCTTCTTTTGTTCCTTAATTACTTGAGGGATATCTTGAGTGATTTCTTGAGTGATATTCTGAGTACCACTTAGGTGGGTCATTAGGTGTGGATTATATATATATATAATCAATAAAGTTGTGGCCCTTTCTAATTCATATCATTGTCTGCTTGAGTTTATTAAGCACATCTTACATTTAGCCACTGTCCAGGGAAGTGGGATGGCACTGTGACTGGGCCAGCAATAAATTACGTAACTAACCAACTTTGTGGTGAGTTCCCCCTCCTTCCCCCCCCCCCAAAAAAAAGCACTGGGAAAGAGTATGACATATCTGTCATTCAAAACTAAAAAACCTTAGGCCTTATCTTAACGACGTACAGAAGGGCAATATTTGTAGCCCTGACAGGCTACTGGCACAGACAAAATGGTGCCTTCTAACTTGAAAGCTAAAAGTCACCAGCTGAACAGAATGCAAACGGTTACTTCAGGGATACAAAATGCTAGGAAATGAAACTTGGGTATGGAGCTAACATATGCTGGCAAGGATTAGGTGTTCCGAGCATGAGAAATTTAAAAACCAAGCTAAACTTGACAAGGGGGTCAGTTACATGGGGATATCTGATGAGAAAGATCCTGTTACTACTAAAGCAAATGGAAACACCATCCATTGCTTTGGACGCACGGAGGCACTTTTTTGGACGTTAGTCCAAGGCCTAATGAAGCCAACAAAAAAGCCTTCAGAAAGGTCCCTTAAGGTTAGTGGATCCATGGCATCCTGTTTATAGCCCAAGGCAAACTCTTCTTGTTGTAATACATGGATATTTGATGGCCCAGATTTGAAGTTAATTAAACACACATATACAAAGTAAATGACCCGCAACACTTAAGTAAGTGACCCGCAGAACTTTTGTCAAGCTTTTCTAGGTCTGTTTGTCAGAGCCTGATGGATGACAAGCAACCAATTAAGAGTTAAAAAATGATGGCTTGCATTTTGTAACGCAACGTGGGAGTTTGTTTTAGAAATCAAGTATGAGGGAAATAGATTAGGTGAACCAATGCACAAAGGATGTGCTAAAGAAATCAGTCTACATGTAACACGAGAATTGTGTGTGTGTGTGTCTATATAATGGGACTATATTTCATTCAGGTGTGTTTTTTTTAAAAAAAAACAACAACCAATGAAGCACATGCATTTAGTATTTTAAAAGGAGACCATTCTGAAACAAGCATTACAAGAAAAAAATCTAATTCTGGATGGACTTGCTGACCAAACTTTCAAAACTGCACCACTTACCATAGCAATGATAGATGACACAAGCATAACTGGCCAAGGAAAAATGATGTATGTTCTTGTACCGCCCCACTTTAAAACACTGCTTTCTATTATTGTATTTTTAATACAGTGGTACCTTGGGCTAAGTACTTAATTCGTTCCGGAGGTCCGTACTTAACCTGAAACTGTTCTTAACCTGAAGCACCACTTTAGCTAATGGGGCCTCCCGCTGCCGCCGCGCCACCGGAGCACGATTTCTGTTCTCATCCTGAAGCAAAGTTCTTAACCTGAAGCACTATTTCTGGGTTAGTGGAGTCTGTAACCTGAAGCATATGTAACCTGAAGCGTATGTAACCCGAGGTACCACTGTAAGTCAATAACTTACCTTCTCTAGAAACCCTAACATTTGCCAAAATATTTGCCCCAAGGCTAGGCTGCAGTTGAAGCCATTTCCAAAACAGAGACTTCACAACACAAACTTTTTATGATTTACTCTTTCATTTCATTGTGTTTGAAGAATATGAAACAAAAGCTACCCAATTTTTACCCTGTTTACGTAGAGGAGCAAGCACTCGGACCCACACATGCAGACAAGCAGAACACATATTTAGGACTTTGATGAGCCTTTCCTTGCCTACTGAACACATGGTCCTTCTGGAGTAGCTATCACTAGTGATTAAATATATACATATACCCTGCAAGTATACAAAAACAAAAAAAAGGTTCACAATCCCCAAAGGAGATGGAGATGGGGCTCCATGACTTTTTTAACAGCTCAGTTGAAAGACCATCAACTTTTGGCTGCTGTTCTTCTCCTTGAAATATTTTAGTTCCTGCTGATCATTACAAGAATTCTTATACATGAAACAGTGGCTGAATTTGCTTCTCCTCCTCTTCCCTCCCAACTCCCTTTTCTTTTGTGTCATGTCTTTTACACTGCTAAGCTTGAAAGCTGGGACATTCGCAAGATTTTCCTGCAGCCTTTTTTGGTTGAAGAACGAGATAAAAAAATGTTTTACAATAAGTATTAATAATGTACAAACTTACTAGTTAAGCAAGTTTTTGTTCTACAGGAATGTATAATATCTATGGGCTTCTGGAAATACCCAAATTCCGAATTTTATAGCAATCAACACATCTCGGGTTCTTTGTGTGCTGAATTTCAACTTCCTGGGAGACTTGCATACCATAACCATTTGGGGATAACACTTTGGGTGTCCTGTTATGAGAGGTATATACAAGGGACTCATTTTTCTGGCAGTCAGGTAGCCAAAGAAAACCAATTGGGTCTAGTTTATTGGGATTTACTCTTAACAAGTTCAATGCTCCTGTCAGTCAGCAAGTGGGATTCAGTCATATGCATGGAGAAATGAATTTAAAATAAATTAAAAACCCTCCCCATCTATCCAATGGTAAAATGTGTAAATATATATTCATTTAATAAATTTATACATTGCTTGAATGTAAAAAATCTCAAAGCAGTTTACAAAAAGATACAAACATTATTTGTCTAGTGTTGCAGCTAATGTGAAAACTGCAGGGTGATATTCTGCTGAGCAGCAATATACAGAGCTGAACAACCTGCCCCACAGACACCCATAACATCCGAGCAAATCCTTTCCCAAGGAAAGCTTAAAACTTTGGTTGCCATTCACCTGTGAAAGGAAAAACTGAAACAACGAATGGTAAAATAAACTACAATCGACAGGCTGATTCTGAATTGCATTATTAAAGGTAAAGGTAAAGGTACCCCTGCCCGTACGGGCCAGTCTTGACAGACTCTGGGGTTGTGCGCCCATCTCACTCAAGAGGCCGGGGGCCAGCGCTGTCTGGAGACACTTCTGGGTCACGTGGCCAGCGTGACAAAGCTGCATCTGGCGAGCCAGCGCAGCACACGGAACGCCATTTACCTTCCCGCTGGTAAGCGGTCCCTATTTATCTACTTGCACCCAGGGGTGCTTTCGAACTGCTAGGTTGGCAGGCGCTGGGACCGAGCAGCGGGAGCACACCCCGCAGCGGGGATTCGAACAGCCGACCTTTCGATCGGCAAGCCCTAGGCGCTGAGGCTTTTACCCACAGTGCCACCCGCGTCCCACTTGCATTATTAAAAGGAATATACAATTCCTTAATGTCCTACCTCTGAGAATTTCTAAGAAAAAATAAAATACGATAAACACTTGGTTTATACTCAAAATATGCCTGAGTACTACCAGAGGAGACAAAAAAAAGGGGGGGCCACACTATATAGAAGATGGGGAGTAAACAAGGCATTTATAGGAGTTAGAATGTGTCAAATAACCAGGGGTAACCAGTTGTACAGATAGGAAAAAAGACCACAAGTTTAATGATGCTTGTCTTTGGTATGTAATGAAAGCTAGACTTCTCCAGTGTGGTGTAGTGGTTAAGAGCGGTAGACTCGTAATCTGGTGAACCGGGTTCGTGTCTCCGCTCCTCCACATGCAGCTGCTGGGTGACCTTGGGCTAGTCACACTTCTCTGAAGTCTCTCAGTTACACTTCCCAGAAGTCTCTCAGTCTCACAGTGTGTTTGTTGTGGGGGAGGAAGGGAAAGGAGAATGTTAGCCGCTTTGAGACTCTTTCAGGTAATGATAAAGTGGGATATCAAATCCAAACTCCTCACCTATTTTTCTAGTTACTGGTTAAGGTCCTCTTTGGATGGTATGAAAGAGGGGGGAAAACAGGAGGCACAGCAGGACTTCACCACTTTGACTTATGGATCTTCAATTGTGTACTGGGGCTTCCAGTGGAACGTCAAACCTCTGGAATCCAAGGAGCCACCTATGCTCATGAAAGTGAGTAGCCTAAATACTTAGTTTGCCAAGGAACTGCTAACTTCAGGGCTAAGTCACCACACATGACAAAAAAACCCTGCCCTCTCTCTCTCTTTTATTCACCATGACTCTCCTGGAGCAAGTCACAGACAAGGGTGGTGATGGTGAAACAGCCAGAAGACAAATTCAAAACATGGAACGGCTTTGTAAACGTTGCACACACTGTAAATGCTTGTTGGTTTTAAGAGAATGCCGAAGAATTCCAATTGGCAAGATTTTTATTTAAAGATTTTATTCGACATTATTAATGACAAGTGTTAAATACAAAGCACACAACATTCAATCTAGCATCCCTGATGCAGCTCGTTGCGATTAGGCTCCATGATTTCACCCATTTACAAATAAGTTACAAAAAAAATATTAAAACACAATTTTTCTGAAAATATTAAATTAAAAACAAAATCTGTAAAAAATATAGGGCTTGATCCCGCAGAAAGAAGGCACGCGCCCGCTCACAAGGAGGAGCTGAATAAGGCTCAACGGAACCAGAGTGTAAGGCAGGACAGGGAAGCACTGAAAGGAATGAGAAGCCCATGTGCACCTCCCTTATCCACAGCCTAGCCCTTCCAAGGTGCATCAATGGGCAACAGAGATGGCACACGCAATTCTCTCATTCTCTGCAATATCTGCATGTACACCTGGGAGGGGAAGGGCAAGGACAGGTAAACAGGGCTCCCTATGGCATTTCTCTGCTTTGGCCAACACGCAACTGGATCAAGCCAAATATTTGTAATTAATAATTTTTTGTTGCATACTTAAGAGCAAGTAGTTAAGACAAAAAGGGCAAGGCCGCCTGAATGTGCTTTAATTCATGGTCACATAATTAGCAGGGAAAATGCCAGTCCTGCCTTGCAAACTTCCTTCCCACCAATCAAACTGTGAATCTGTTTTCGTCGTGATCTTGATCCTATCGCCCGCGTTGAAAGTCAAGTCACCTGGCTGCTGTCCTTCAAACGGATATAGCGCTGTAACGAATGTAGGACTGGTGGCCTTTGAGTTTCCTAAGAAACAGAAGAAGTAGAAGAAGACGACAGTTCAGGACCTGGGTTTCATCTTGAACGATAAATTTCACAGAGTGCTGAAGTCCAGCTTGCCTTGACAACAAGTGAGCTGCCACAAAGTACAACATAAATCATCCCAAACCACTTCAAGACCAAATCCTGTTACGAGTTAAACAGGAAGTCAAGTGTTTTCATGCACGATTCTACTCCAAGCCTTCTGGTCCAACTTCATTGTACAAAGGATGGTCTACTCAGCATGTATAATATGTTGGAGATTGGAGCAATTGAGGGGAGGGAGAAAAGGGGAATGTGGCACAGAGTAAGATATGGGGGAAGGTCTACACAGATCTTACTACGTTGGTTAGAGGTACACATCCAAGATCTGTTGAGTTTCGTAAAATTCCGATACATATTGCATAAGACACAGATACAGTTTACAGAGATGGAGAGAGATAAAGTGTTCAGAGGCCATGGAATGCGATAGGCAACCAATCCATAACTTGCTATCTAAACAACAACTACAAAAGGAGGGAGGCCCATTTTCTTCATTCCCTTCTTGTATTTGGCTGGCTACATCTGGGCAAGGTGGACCTTTGGTCTGAACCAACATTATAAGGCTCTTCTTGCATTCTCAAGATCTAGCAACATTTGACTATCAAAATACTTCCTGTGCACAAAATATTAAAGATACTTCCTATTGGCAGACTCAACATCTTAAAATGTTGGCGTTGAATGGTTTGGGCAGTTCCTACTTGTGTTGCAGGCAAAAGGGGCTAAACAGTACAGTGGTACCTCAGGTTACATATGCTTCAGGTTACATACGCTTCAGGTTACAGACTCCGCTAACCCAGAAATAGTGCTTCAGGTTAAGAACTTTGCTTCAGGATGAGAACAGAAATTGTGCTCTGGCAGTGCGGCAGCAGCAGGAGGCCCCATTAGCTAAAGTGGTGCTTCAGGTTAAGAACAGTTTCCGGTTAAGAACGGACCTCCGGAACGAATTAAGTACTTAACCTGAGGTATCACTGTAAACAAAAACAAAAAAACCCCACATTGAAGCACTAAAAAGTTGAAATTTAAAGTCCTGCAGGAACTTAGATCTGAGCTATCTACCAGCTCAAGCATAACCAAAATATTTTTTAATTGGTGTGCAAGTAAGCTGCGAGGTTTTCTTCACAGCTTGCAGGAGAGAAGATATTTAACCCATTTTGCTCATACGAGAGCTTACACACACTTTACCTTACAGTTGAGGAAGCCAGAGTGAAGGCAAAAACTAAATAAAATACTGCAAACTTACAGGGCAAATTAGCCAAAGAATTGTGCACCTTCAATTACAAACTAGAGTTGGTAAACCTATAGCTGGTTGTGTGTGGCATCTGTTTATATTTAGGAAATTAATTTCTTTTTTAAAAAATTAAGTGGCTTGGTTTGCAAAAGCAGCATCTCTGGACAGCTCTTTGGCAGCATTCCAGCCTTTTGAAAATACACAACAACGATTTGTTTGCCTTTAGAGTATTTTAAGGAAGGTTTGTGGGAAACAAGGCCATGTAGTTGTTACGTAAGTTGTTACATTGCAACTGTATTTCAAAAAGATTAAAAAAATGCTCAATCTACACAAGATGGTGCTACAGTGCTACATTCAAATGACGAAAACGCTATTGAGCCCTGTTCATCTGTTAATAGCAAACTCGTAGACCAAACATTTGATGATAATCTTGTCTTGTGTTTTTGTTATGCTATATCCATGTAGAATGGAGGAAGATGTTTGCTACTGAGAAAGTTCTTGTGAGCTGGGAGGGGGGGTGGGAAGGCCTTCAACACATCTAGCAAATTTTTATCTTGGGAAACTGGCCAAGGTGCTTGCTCAAGAATGGCTAATCCATTCAACATTAAGGCACTTGTAGCTTAGTTTTGTAGGAGCGGGAAGCTCAGCAGATCAGCTTGCTGTGTTATGTGGCAATCATAAATGACTGTTGCTCTGTTTGCTGCCTTGGGCACTTTGTGGAAAAATCCAATTTCTGGGCTTGGATCCATACAAAAAAGCCCTGCTGAATGATGCCAAGGTCCAGCACTCTCTTTTCACAGTGGCCAACCAGAGGCAACCACACCAATGTGAGCATTAAAGCTGTTGAGAAGGGGGGGGGCATCATCTGAGTTCATGTTCCTCATGCAGTGGGAGCTAAGGCAGAGAGAGAATTTCCCATGAAACCAGGAACCATGACTGTGCAGGTTCTCAACCGTGCCCGTTAGACACACAGGGGCGGAGCTGGGGAAACTGTGTGGTGCGTTTGTGTGCAGGCACACAGGCTTCCTTGCATCCATGTATGTGCAAGTGTGTGAGAAGGGGGAGCCAGCTGTACTATCCCACAGGTATTCATGGACACCCCTTCATGAAACAACATAGGGGAGAGTTTTCATATTTTACTTCACTTCCATCAAGGGTGGAGATAGTTACCAGATTTTTGCAACTACTGCTGAATTCTAAGAGAGCCCTGCACTTACAAAATAGAGAGCTACCCAGAGCTTTAAAAGCCCACTGTTTCCTGAGAAAGACGCGTACACCATCATTTGCTTGCCCGTTGCGGGTGGCGCTGTGGTCTAAACCACAGAGCCTAGGGCTTGCCGATCGGAAGGTCAGCGGTTCGAATCCCCGTGACGGGGTGAGCTCCCGTTGTTCAGTCCCAGCTCCTGCCCACCTAACAGTTTGAAAGCACCTCAAAATGCAAGTAGATAAATAGGTACCACTCCAGTGGGAAGGTAAACGGCGTTTCTGTGCGCTGCTTTGGTTTCGCCAGAAGTGGCTTAGTCATGCTGGCCACATGACCTGGAAGCTGTCTGCGGACAAACGCCGGCTCCCTCGACCTATAGAGCGATATGAGCGCCACAACCCCAGAGTCGTCTGCGACTGGACCTAACGGTCAGGGGTACCTTTACCCTTACACTCTTGTAGATTACTCTTTTAATGCAGCGCTGCAGTAGGGCAAGATTGCACATGACTTACGGAGAAGCATTGCAGAGAAGGGGTACGGTTGCGAAAGAAGCAAAATTTGCACTAACTAGTTTGGGGGGAAAGGCATCTATTATTAAGGGAGAGGCTCAAAGCACCAACATTGCCATTTACCCATTCCGCAGATTCTATTAAGGAGACATGCCTAAATTTTTGTGGCTTGCTCTGCACAATGGGTTGGCTCAGTTTAACACATCTCCATGCATTTATTTACTAAGAAATGATTGTGAGAGTCAAGAACTAGAAGTGAGAGGTGCCCTTTCTCTATCCATTATTACTCATCCAGCTTTGGTAAGAACACTTTGCCTCTGTTTCAAGCAATGCAACATTATTTAGGGAAAACGGTGTTCTGAGGCTCCTATGCATGCCACAGACATTTTCCTGCGCCACACGCCACACTACAACAAACGCTGATAAAGCCTGCTTACGTTGAGAAGTGACCTATAGTAAACCCAAAACATAAGCTTTGTCAAAGACCACATTTCTCTCCCTTTACCCTCTTACGAAACAGATGTTGGGAGAGAGGTTTAAATGGCCAGCAACGGTGACCTGGCAACTCCATGGCTATTAATCCAATTCATATACAAAAGTATCATTTTTTTATTGCTGTCTGTACTGGGAAAGTCTTACAGCGTCTGCCATAACCGATCTGTCATAATCTCTAATCACGCTTCCCCCTCCGTCAGAGGGCTGGGGGGAGAGGTTGTAGGGGTGGTAATATAATGCTCAGATCGTCTCCCACAGGATATTCGCTCCACAATAATAGCCTGCAACAAGGGGCTATTAGACCAACTCTCCCAGATTGCAAAAGTTTGCTTACGGGCAGTTAATTATCCACCACTCTCTTAGATACCAAGGTATGGAATCAAGTTTTGAAACTAAAATTAGGATTGTTTCTCAAAAAGGCAGAGGAAGAAAACGAAGACATTAGGGGAGACAGATGTTTTCTGCACCATTTGTCAAGGCCGGGGGTCGGCAACCTGCGGCTCCAGAGCCGCATGCGGCTCTTTAAAGCCTTTGCTGCGGCTCCGGGGCGGTGGCGAGGGGAGGAGGCGAGGGGCGGAGGCGAGGGGCGGAGGTGACCAGCCTGCCGCCCGGCGGGCGGGGCGCCGTAAAGCAGAGCGCCCCCCTCGCCAGGCAGACATCCGCAGCGTGGGGAGCCTTGCCGGACTTCCCGGCAAGGCTCCCGACGCTGCGGATAGCAGCCTGCTGCCCGGTGGGCGGGGCGCCCTAAAGCAGAGCGCCCCCCTCGCCAGGCAGACATCCGCAGCGTGGGGAGCCTTGCCGGAGGTCCCGGCAAGGCTCCCCACGCTGCGGATAGCAGCCTGCCGCCCGGCGGGCGGGGCGCCGTAAAGAAGAGCGCCCCCCTCGCCAGGCAGACATCCGCAGCGTGGGGAGCCTTGCCGGAGGTCCCGGCAAGGCTCCCCACGCTGCGGATAGCAGCCTGCCGCCCGGCGGGCGGGCGCCGTAAAGAAGAGCGCCCCCCTCGCCAGGCAGACATCCGCAGCATGGGGAGCCTTGCCGGAGGTCCCGGCAAGGCTTCCCACGCTGCGGATAGCAGCCTGCTGCCCGGCGGGCGGGGCGCCCTAAAGCAGAGCGCCCCCCTCGCCAGGCAGACATCCGCAGCGTGGGGAGCCTTGCCGGAGGTCCCGGCAAGGCTTCCCACCCTGCGGATAGCAGCCTGCTGCCCGGCGGGCGGGGCGCCCTAAAGCAGAGCGCCCCCCTTGCCAGGCAGACATCCGCAGCGTGGGGAGCCTTGCCGGACTTCCCGGCAAGGCTCCCCACGCTGCGGATAGCAGCCTGCCGCCCCGCAGGCATCGGCCAGCCCCACAAGCTCGGGGGACAGCAGGGAGGCGAAGCGCCGCCATCCCGCTGTTCCTCGACCTGGTTCAGTTTCCCCGACCTGCTTTTGGGGGGGAAATAAAGGGAAATTTTTTCCCCTTTATTTCCCCCCAAAAAAACTAGGTGCGTCCTATGGGACGGAGCGTCCTATGGGGCGAAAAATACGGTATTTTTATAATGACGAATGCCTCATTATTAATTATTATTTACATCAGGCACTGATTATGATTTATGGTACACTGGGGCCCTGATTAATTTTCTATGGCATTTTGGGGCATTGATTATTGGGCATAGCAAGTCGCGGTCGCGTGGAATTTGTGCTTTGTGACCGTTTGAAGTGGGGTTTTTTTCTTGGGAGGCTGGGCGGCACGAAGAGAGGGATTATTTTTATAATGATGAGGATGACATTGGGCCCTCATTATTAATTATTATTTACATCAGGCACTGATTATGATTTATGGTTCACTGGGGCCCTGGTTAATTTTCTTTGGCATTTTGTGGCATTGATTATGCAGTCGCGGTCGCGTGGAATTCCACGTGGAGTTAGTTGCCTGAAGCCCCTTTTTAGTTGCTTGAAGCCCCTTTTTAAACTTAAGCAGGTGAAAGTTTGGTGAATTGCTGCCAAGGAGTGTGGTGGAGTCTCCTTATTTGGAGGTCTTTAAGCAGAGGCTTGACAACCATATGTCAGGAGTGCTCTGATGGTGTTTCCTGCTTGGCAGGGGGTTGGACTCGATGGCCCTTGTGGTCTCTTCCACATATGTATGTGAGCAGGTCTTCTCCAACATGAACTATATTAAAAACAAGCACCGATCACGCCTCACAGATGACAGCTTGCAAGCCTGTGTGAAAATGAAGGTGACGTCTTACAGCCCTGATGTGCAGACACTGAGCACTGAGGTTCAGGAGCAAAAGTCCCATTAACCTGGTTACCTGGTTGTAAATTAAATATTTTAATTAGCTATTAATTTGTCCTTTTTTCTTGAGATTGACACCTGACTGCACGATCCTGTATATATAGCATTAAGGCCAGAAACAATATATGTAGTGTTATATTTGTTTTAAATGTTGCAATGTTTTTGCGGCTCCCAGTTGTTGTTGTTTTTTCGGAAACGGGTCCAAGTGGCTCTTTTTGTCTTAAAGGTTGCAGACCCCTGGTCAAGGCAGTGTGCTCTGCCACGCATCTGACCCGAGTCTCCTACTTTAGAGTCTGCTTTTCAATGGCACATTTCAGATTGACATCAGGAGACCCAGTGGCTTTCTACTTTGGTAGCACGATTCATTTGGTTAAGAAGCTAGCCCTATAAAACCAGGCTCTCTCTGTTCCTACGACATGCCCTGTTTAAAATCCATGTGCCTATTATAGCCTGGAGAAACTAAATACAACTGGATTTTGTATAGATTGATTCTTCTTACAAGTTCTTTCCAAAAAGCAAAATGAATTATATGCCTTTGTTCCTTGCCTCAAGCCTGGGGTGCTATTGGATGGAGAAGGCTTAACTTTTTTTAAAAAAAATTCAGCCTTTAATTACTGCCAAAAAACCTCCATTGTACACTAAATATTATTTGTTTCCTCTGTGAAAATGGCATAGTTGCCATGTTAAGGACACTAAAAAGGTAGACGCTCTTAGTGGCTGCCTATTACTCAAGTTAGTTTTTAACAAAATGGCATTGACCCAAAACACACATAAAACAAAGACCTCAATTTTCTAGTCCTAGCATGCACTGACCTCAATCTTTATGTGCCTTTGTAATCAGCTGGCTCAGCAGCAGGAACTGGAGTCCCCCTCCCCATACAATCAGAATTCCACATAGTATTCTCTCTCTCTCTCTATTTTTGCTCGTTTCATGACAGTATAAGCCAAAAAAAGAAGTTCGATTTAAAATGATGGCACAAAAGTGCCAGAAATAATATTATAATAGCAGAGCAATTTCAAAAATAGGAATTGTTTCCTGGGATTTCCTGTTTAATGATGAGCATTAAGACAGTTTATAACAACAGAGGGAGGTAAGCTGCTAGATGGATGTTTATTTTAGATGGAAGTAAGCTACAAGCCTGACTAGAGAAAGAGAACCACAAAAATAGGACTAGGCTGCCTTAAACCTTTTAAAAGGGAGAGAGAATTCACTCTAATGTTTCCAAAGTCTCGTACGTCACCGTGGCTTACGAATTTACAGAAACACATTATTCTCTTGCTTAAAGATCTGTTCATACAAATATCCATTAGTTAACCCTGATCTCATTTGCTGCTTTTTACAGTTTATAATCTGCTAAAGGTTTCTCTGTAGAGACCATTACACACTGCAACTCAGCCTAGGCTCTTGCTGCCATTGCAGACATCTCTCTTCCCTGCTTAAAAAGAAAAAAATACTTCAAGTCTTGCTTTAGTCTTGAGTTAACAACAACCAGCCATTACACATGCAAACGGTTTACATGCATGCTCATTATTATTTCTGTTACCAAAGAAATAGTCAAATATTCATTTCACTACTAAGCGGTGCTATCTCGCCATCTACAATAATCTTTTCTGAAGTCTCTTGAGAAAACAGTCAATGGTTTCAATTTTCTCCCGAGATATGCCATGCTATGTGCAGCAAGGCATTGCAATGCAGTCTTATCCATGTTTACTCATAAGTAGGCCCCATGGTGTTCAGTGGTTCTTAATTCCTAGTATACATGCATGTATGACTGCAGCCCAAATAGCAAATTCCATGCTAGGGAACATTAGGAAAGTAACTGAAAAGCTGATGTCGTATACAAATCTATGGTGCAATCGCCTTCGGAATACAGTTCTGGTTGCCTCAACTCAAAAATGTTATAGACTGTTAAGAAAGTTTCAGGAAAAGGCAACAAAAATTTAAAAGGAAAGAGGGTGGAGCAACTCCTGTATGAGGAAAGATTGCAGCATTTTGCTTTGTTTTTTATAATAAGTCAAGTAAGAGGCGACATGATAGAAAATTATAAAAAATTATGCACGGCGTGAAGAAAGCAAATGGAGAAAAGTTTTCTCTCACTCTTTTATGGCACTGGAACTCATGAACACCAACAAAGCTGAAAGTTGAAAAATTAAAGGACAGTTTAAAAAGTACTTTTTTTGCACAGTGTGCAGTCAAACTATGGAACTCGGTCCCATGGGAGGCAGTGATGGGCGCCATTTTGGATGGCTTAAAAAGAGGATCAGTTAAAGGCTATCAATGGCTACTAGCCACAATAGTTAAGTTGTGCCTTCACTGCTAAGAGGCAGTATGTCTCTGAATACCAGTCGCTGGGAATTGCAGGTGGGCAGAGTGCTAGTGCCCTGCTTGTGGTCATCCCATGGGCATCTGGTGTGAGAACAGGATGAGCCATTGGCTTGCTTCAGCAGACTCTTCTTGTTCTTCTGTTTTAGGACAAACTACCACATTACCATGGGGACGTGGGTGGCGCTATGGGTTAAACCAGAGCCTAGGGCTTGCCGATCAGAAGGTCGGCAGTTCGAATCCCCGCGACGGGGTGAGCTCCCGTTGCTCGGTCCCTGCTCCTGCCAACCTAGCAGTTCGAAAGCACATCAAAGTGCAAGTACATAAATAGGTACCGCTCTGGTGGGAAGGTAAACGGCGTTTCTGTGCGCTGCTCTGGTTTGCCAGAAGCGGCTTAGTCATGCTGGCCACATGACCCAGAAGCTGTATGCCGGCTCCCTCGGCCAGTAAAGCGAGATGAGCGCCGCAACCCCAGAGTCGGTCACGACTGGACCTAATGGTCAGGGGTCCCTTTACCTTTACCACATTACCATTGCAGGGTAGGAGCCTGTTCCATGTGGTGAAGTCCTGTTTTGCATCAGAATGTATAGACATTCAGGAACTAGCCATGCACATGCACACACAGCCATTCCTCACTCAGATCTGCAAAAGTGGAGATAATCTCCCTTGGAGCATTAACACTAATGGGATAATGTTCAAGTGTCTTCCTAACAAGTACTAGCAAGAACCACGATTGCTTAATTTGGTGTAGCTTGATCGGTGAGCTAACAAAACCCAGTGCAAAGAATTTATCTTTTTTGGGATGCAGGACCTTTCAATGACAAGAAGTGAACACAACATTACATTAGCCTGTTTCTTGGAGCTGGCCTGCAAAAGCTAAATCTTGTAAGCTTTATTCAAGCCATGTTAGGTACACTGTAAATTAATTTCTCCCTAAACATCTGAACCAAAATCGGAACCAAAATAAGGAGAGATGGAAACTCGTGCATACATTCAAGGAGGAGACATACTTTCAAGGAGTAGTGGCCCAATTTGGATTGTTAAGGATCAAGATTCAGTCTCATCAAGAGATTTTGTGAATTCTCAAATGCTACTTTGACATTGATGATGAATGATATTATAACAATATCAACACTCACCCACTGCGGCAGAATAGCTGGGAAGTTCAGGGTAAAGTCTAGTCGGTGTTCTTACAGCTGCAGAGGAATTCAGAATGTATTTTATTAGTTTAATATGGCCATTTAATATCTTCTTTAACAATCTCAGTTTGATCATCATGAAGCTATAGTTGCTTTTTCCAGAAATTACAGTCATAATTAAGCAGACCAAGAGAGAACAAATAATGACCAAAAAATCATAATAATAGTGAAAACAACACCGTATTTTTCCGTGTATAACACACACCCGTGTATAAGACGACCCCAATTTTTGGGGACCCCAAATTAAGGAAATGGGGGGAGATTGCCCAGAGTTGTCTGCCCACTCGCCAATTGACCGCAAAATTGCAGCAGCCAATCACTACCACGCCTTGATGCAGTCAGAAATCATCCGCACAATTGCCGTTGCAGCAGCAAATTAGCACCACGCCTTGCCAATGCCAACAATCACCCGACCAATTACCACTGAATCTCCTGCTCGTGGCTGTCAACAATCACACGTCTCACCTCTGCACTATCCATGTATAAGATGACCCCCAATTTTTAGCATTTTTCTATAATATAAAAAAGCTTGTCTCATACATGGAAAAATATGGTACCTCTGAGAAGACCTGCATAAGATCAGGGTTGAAGTGCCAGTGTTCAGCAGCGTGGCCCTTTCCCCTGTGTATATCCCTTTATATACAGCTATGCCTCCCCAACCCTCCCCTCCTTGAAGTAAACAAGGAATGCACCATGGACAGAAGAGCTCTTTAGGTACAGGTGGCAGGTGATGCAACAATGAGACAACCCAAGAAGGCGGCAAAATCCTACCCTATACAAGACTTATCCACATACACAGAATCACACACACATCTCATGCCGGCAGTCAAGAAACTTACCAATTTATGGAGAAAAACAGATCCCAGGGCACATAAAATCAGAGTGTTTCGGGGGGGGGGGGTTTACTGCAAAAAGATAAAGCTGATAGTTATACAATACCTTCCGGTGTGGTTTGCGCCGGAGTCTTGCGTGATTGTCTCTTCGACGGTTGCTCGTTAACCTGGCAGGGGAGGGGGAAGAGAGATGTCAATATTTTTTACCTTCTGTTACAAGTGCAAGAAACTCAAAGGTTGTGAGACTATTTCTTTTTCAAAAAACACACCTTCCATGTTGACTGAAGCACTCATATGCCGAACCATTCGGCTCAAAGCAGTGCCGTAATTGTTGTGCGCTGCTCTTCAAATGCCTGCACCTGGCTGGAAAAGTGGTCCTGAACTGTGCAATTGCCCCTCGCATGTGAAGAAACCACCAGCTAGCATGTGGCTGGGATGCCATAGCGAGAATTGTCTCCATTGCCCCCCCCCGCCACACTTTTTGCCTTTAGCCCCCCACTATTGCAAGGGCAAGGGTTCTTCCCCACTATATTGCAAGGGCAAGGGCGCCTTGTTCTTGGCTCTTCAGAAACACAGTGGTACCTCGGGTTACAAACGCTTCAGGTTACAGACTCCACTAACCCAGAAATAGTACCTCGGATTAAGAACTTTGCTTCAGGATGAGAAAAGAAATCGCGGGGCGGCAGCGGGAGGCCCCATTAGCTAAAGTGGTGCTTCAGGTTAAGAACAGTTTCAGGTTAAGAACAGACCTCCAGAACGAATTAAGTTCTTATCCCGAGGTACCACTGTAGAGCCAAGCAGATTTCGCATGAGCCTGCCCCACACCTTCTTGGGTTCCCTTGTTACTGCCGTCCAGCTTCTCCCCTCCTGAGTTTCATACTGCAGAGTGAAAGACTCGAGGATGTCATAGAGGTCCTGCGCCAGAGGAGGAGGAGGGATGTCACCGTACAAAATGGCACTAGCACGGATGTCCCGACCGTAGAACCTGGGGAAAGATGTGTTTCATGTTTAGTCTGCTAGGCGGAGAAGAGGGATTTCATGCAGTACCCTCACCAGGGGTGGGCAACCGTCTTGAAGTTGAGGACTGCCTACTAGCAGTAAATGTAAAGGGACCCCTGACCATTAGGTCCAGTCGTGACCGACTCTGGGATTGCGGTGCTCATCTCGCTTTATTGGCCGAGGGAGCCGGCGTACAGCTTCCGGGTCATGTGGCCAGCATGACCAAGCTGCTTCTGGCAAACCAGAGCAGCGCACGGAAACGCCGTTTACCTTCCCGCCAGAGCGGTACCTATTCATCTACTTGCAGTCTGAGGTGCTTTCGAATTGCTAGATTGGCAGGATCAGGGACCGAGCAGCGGGAGCTCACCCTGTCGCGGGGATTCGAACTGCCGACCTTCTGATCAGCAAGTCCTAGGCTCTGTGGTTTAACCCATAGCGCCACCCACGTCCCCTACTAGCAGTAGGTGAGGCCAAAGCCAAAAGTGGGTGGGGCATTCATTTTCCACCCCTCCACTCATTAATTCTCTTTTTCACAGACACAGAACCACCCCACCCATCCTTCTACACACAAGCACATCTACTACACCCATCTATTATTATTATTATTATTATTATTATTAACATTATTAATTCAATTTATATAACGCTCTTTTATCAGAAGAACTGAAGGCACTGCACAACATTTAAAACACATTACAGAAAATCAGTGATAAAAACCTAATAGAAACACAGTAAAAAACATACTGACAGACAGCCTAATAATAAAAGTTATCATAATAACAGTCCAACCCCCCACACTTTCACAGGCCGTAGATGATTATAATAGGCCTGGGTAAAGACAAATGTTTTTGCCTGGCACCTAAAGACATGTAGTGATGGCGCCAGGCGAGCCTCTCTGGGGAGAGCATTCCACAATTGGGGAGCCACCACAGAAAAGGCCCATTCTCTATGTCTCTCTTCCTGGCCCACATATGCATGCAGAAATGTGTGTCTGCCTCTTCAGCTGCAGGAATAGTAGTAAGGAGCAGGGGATGCCCTGAACTAGAAAGCCATAGGCTGCTATCTCTATGCTCAGTTTTTATTTCTATGCTCTGAAGACAATGTGTGCTTGATTCTCTTGCTTGCCAGACTGAGTGTGAAACATCCTTGCCTGAAATCCTGGAGGAAGATGGGGCCTTCCTACAAGGTGTTCTATGTTCTTTCTTCATTTACAGCATGCCTGTTACTCCAAAGAGCTTACGGGAGTGTCCACAGTTCCTCCTCCCTCTATTTTATCCTCACAAAGACCTTGTGTGGTAGGTTAGAGAGAGATCATGACCCGCCCAAGGTTAGGGCGAGCTCCCTGGACGGGTGGGAATTTGAACATGGGTCTGCCCTGTCTCAATCAGACACTCTAGCCACTACAACTCCAATTATATTATTTCATAAATGTATACCCTGCCCTGTCACAGTGTTCTGACAACAGGAGCTAAATTTTGAGAAGAACGATCTCAACTGCCCAGCTACTTACTTGCCGTTCGTCTCCTTCCTTTCAATTAAGCAGCTTCCTTCTAAAGACACCCCGGCGAACAGCCCTCGAGATTTGCAGTACGTATAGACAGCGGCAGAGCTTCTCAAGGCAACGTCACCTTCGAGATTTCTAAGTGGGAAGAAAAAGCAGAGGGTGGGATCCAGCTCAGGACTCTCATCGGCGGAAGCCCTGTGCGAGGACTTGCGCTTGTGCAATGGGGCTTCCCCTTCTCTTCGGAGTGGGGGTGTGGGGCAGGAGAATCCCCAAGGACCTTATGGGGTCCTCGCCACGGGATCACATTCACCCGGTGCTATACCAGTTGCACTGGCTCCCGATGGAGTACAGGATCAGGTTTAAGGTGCTGGTTTTAACCTTTAAAGCCCTATACGGCCTAGGACCCTCGTACCTACGGGACCGCCTCTCCTGGCATGTCCCACGGAGGATCTTACAGTCTTCAAACAAAAACATCTTGGAGGTCCTGGGCCACAGAGAGGTTAGGCTGGCCTCAACCAGAGCCAGGGCTTTTTCGGCTGTAGCCCCGATCTGGTGGAACGCTCTGTCACAAGAGACTAGGGCCCTGCGGGACTTGACATCTTTCCGCAGGGCCTGCAAGACAGAGCTGTTCCACCAGGCCTTTGGCCAAGCCACAGTCTGACCCCCTCCTTTGGTGATCCTCGTAGAACTCTGGCTCAGTGGCTGCCATTTGATTTTGAATTGATTTTAGAATGCTGCGTTTCTTTTATTGTTGTTAGCTGCTCTGAGCCCAGCTCTGGCTGGGGAGGGCAGGATATAAATAAATAAATATATTATTATTATTATTATTATTATTATTATTATTAGGCGGAGCTGGAAGGGAGAGAGAGGCAACTGTTCTGTCTGCCAAGCTGAAATGATTGCTCCAATGGAACAATTGCCTTAGTGCAACATAGAATTCCTCCTATAACCACAGAATCATAGACTTGGGAGAGTTGGAAGGGACCACGTGGGTAATCCACTCCAACTCCCTGCAATGCAGGAATCTTTTTGCCCAACATAGGGCTTGAACTGAGACTGAGAGTCTCATCCTCTATCTGAGCTATCTCATCTCATGATCTGTTCTCAGCTTGGGATACGTTTCCACATTTCACCACTACTTGAGTTCGTGTGTGTGTGTGTGTGTGTGTGTTTGCATTTCCACATTTTCCCTCTTTTGAATAAGGCTGGCAGAACTGCCAGTGGTGCCCCACTCCTTGGTGGTAATAGTAAGTCAACTACTCTATATAAGAATAAACCACGTAGTGCTATTAAGAATCTTTAGGGATTCTACAAAACAGTGCAATCCCCATGAAACAACTCTTGCTAAACAGAGTGCGCGTCCCCTCTCTTTGCTTAGAAGCCAGGGAAGAAAGACCTGAAGGATCTCCAGCTATTTTGGGACTACAACTCCCATCATCCCTAAACTAGCAGGCCCAGTGGTCAGGGATGATGGGAATTGTAGTCCCCAAAACAGCCGGAGACCCAGGTTTGGGAAACTCCACCCTAGAGAAAGCATGCCCATGTATCCCTTTGAATTCTCTTTTTTTGGAACTAAAGGGAGAGAAAGGAAGTGGAAATCAGAGACATGAGTCACATAAGTGGGTGGAAAGCAACAATCTACAGGATCTGGCCCAAAGGCTTCCTTGCACAGCACCCATTATTGTCAGGAGCGCTTAGTGCTGTTCCTGACGTGCTGATGTTTTGTGTTAACTGTCTTGGAGAAAAGCCCTGCTAAAATCTTCCTGCCACTCTGCCAGTAGGCGGTCTCCAGAGACTGGTTTTGATATGAGGAAACAAACATTCAGAGAGCTGACTCCTCAAGGCACCATGAACTAGAACAAGTCCCTCGAGGCTTTCCCTCAACTCCACTCTCATTGGGGGATCAATAACACCGTTTTCAGCTTACTGAAGATAAATGAAGCTGCACGGTAACAGCTTTTGAGAGCTCAGTATCCTTTAGCATTTCAGTGACACTCACCTCCCCAAAGGCCCAATTGCTACTGTAAAATTTCCTCCCAGAGTAAGATTGCCACCTTTTGCAAAAGCTTCAACAGCTCTCTCATGGTTCAGTATTACCACAAGGTCTGACACCTGGAGAGAGAAAATTAAAAAGCAGAATGTTGAATCTATTTCCAGAAGGAAAGAACTCAAATTGTTTCATTTGCCTACAAGCAGGATAACATAGAAAAAGAGGCCCCATCAAAAGACTACAAACTGAACCAACAAATTTAGTAATCCCGGTGAATGTTTATCCTGGGGAACAAGAACTGAAGGTAGCTATTTATTTGTCTGACCAGGGCACACTGAAAGAGGTGGAAGGACAGCCTGCAGGTTGCCCATCACCCCATTGGTGGATTCTTATTTTAAATAAAGGTAAAAGGTAAAGGGACCCCTGACCGTTAGGTCCAGTTGTGGCCGACTCTGGGGTTACGGCGCTCATCTCGCTTTACTGGCCGAGGGAGCCGGCGTAAATGTCAGAGCTGCCCCTGGTCCCAGCTCACAGAGGACCAACGCCAGTCCGTCGTTATATTAAATAGCTTTTATTGAAGTTCAGTTTCTCATTTACAGCCACGGCGCGCAGCTCTACGTCTTAAACCCTAGACCGCCGAAGCTCCGTCTGAGTCTCCTCCCCCCAGACACCAGTTTAAGACCCTAGCCTTGCTCCACCTCTTCCTCTGCTCCCTCTTCCTCTGGGTCCGCTTGTCCGCCGAGGTCTTGCCCTTCCTAGACTCTTCTGAGGCTGACTCCCCTGAGTCTTCCCCCTCCCTCCGGCGAGCTTTAGGACCTGGTTCCCAATCCGTGCTTTCTGCTGCCCCGTGTGCCTGTACATTTGAACTTGGCGTGCGCGCCCAGCCTGCCACCTTCCTCCTGACCGTTATACTGCTCCTGTCGCTGCTTCCCTCTTCGGGGATGCCAGCTGGGCTTGACTCCTCCTCCCTGCTTGCCGGAGGAGACGCTGACTCTGACCTATGGGGCTCTACCCCCCACTATGCTCTGGTGGGGAAGCTGGCCCTGATTTCCAGCTACTGCTTTGGGAGTCTCTGCTGGCCCCCTGCTTCTGGTGTGTCCCCCCTGGGACCCCCCTTGCCCTGGCCATCGGCGCCCCCTTCTGGGAATCTTCTGATTCACTGGAGAGGCTTATGGAATCTCTCGGGTCACTGTCATTCTGTCCTCCGCTGCCCTCCATTTCCTCTCTCCCCTGCGCCTCTGCTCCTGAGCCCCTGACAGTAAAGCTTCTGGGTCATGTGGCCACCATGACTAAGCCACTTCTGGCAAACCAGAGCAACGCACGGAAGCGCCATTTACCTTCCCGCCGGAGCGGTACCTATTTATCTACTTGCACTTCGGCATGCTTTTGAACTGCTAGGTTGGCAGGAGCAGGGACAGAGCAATGGGAGCTCATCCCGTCGCAGGGATTCGAACCGCCGACCTTCCGATTGGCAAGCCCTAGGCTCTGTGGTTTAACCCACAGCGCCACCTGCTCTTTATTTTAAATAGGTAACTGTTTAATACACTCTTAATACACAGGGCACCACAGTCACCCTCTTCTGAGCTATCCAAACAGATCAGCTCATGAGCGGGGAGTTATTGCCCAGCGACTGCTCATCAAATGATCAAACTGGGTATACTCCACCCCTTCTTCTTCTTTTTTGCTGCTGCAAAAACCAGTGGGATCTGGATAAATTGCTTTCAAGTCATGCTCAAGCCCCCAAACTTGGGTGTGGGTGAACCACACTTGAGCTACTATGCATAAGTTTTTTTGGGTTTTTTTTTTAAGTTCTCTTCCCCTCATTTAGCTTGATAAACCCCTTGATCATATGGGAGACTGAAGGGAGTTAAGTAGCTGTCATCTCAGAAGGAGCAAAAATGTAAACAAGCCCTTAGGAAAGAACTGGAATACAGATGTTCGTTCTGAAAGCATCCCTTTGTCACCTTGACTCGTGTTGGCACAACCAGAACTGAATTGAGTGCACTGTTTTCAAACAATGCCTAAGAAATGTAGCATTTGTTTGAGTGAAGTGAAGCAACCAGGGTGACTTGCTGTAGAATGAAAGAAAATCAGGATGTAATTATTTTGGGGTGGGATGGGGAGCAGGGGCGGAGGAAGGGGGTGCAGTAGAGGCGGGCCGCTCCGGCTGTCACCACTGAGGGGGATGACAAAATGCCGGGCGAGGGGCAGCACTCACCGTGGGGCCTGCAGCACGCCTGAGCCACTCATCTCTCCTGGGAGTGATGAGGTGGCTTGGGCGCCCGCAAGCTCCGCTTTGCTCCAAACAATCTGCCCACCGCATCCCCCTCAGCTGTAGGGTGGCTGAGTGGGAGGAGGCAGGCAGACTCCGCAGAGGCCTCGCAAAGCGTCCTGCCCTGGCTGGCCCTGCCCTGCAGGTAGCTGGCCCCGCCCCTGGGCGCAGGGCACGTGCGCTGCCCCAGGCGCCAAATTGGCTTGCTGCACCGCTGGGGGGGAGGGGAGAACATTAGGCTGAGAAAACTCTCCACACAAGCTTCTTGACATTTCATCATTTCACGTTACCGGGGAGGGTGACAATACAGACCACGATCATTGGGCCAGTCCTTGGTGAAGTGTAACTGGACGTCCAAGTGACAATTGTTTTGCCCTAGTTATGCCTGCTGTACAACACAGGTAGCTGCATTGCTCCCAACTCATAGACAGGTAGGTGGGAGGAAGGAAGCTGGCTTTCCAGTTTGACTTCTGTGGCTGCACCCTCACATGGCAGCTGCTTCCAACTTCCTTCCAAGTTGAAGTAGCTTTCAACAGAATGGGCAGCTGCAAGAATGGATCAGCTACTACACCAACCACACCACCAGGGTTTTGCTTAGATTTCTTTTGGCTAGCGACAACGGGCGGTATTCACCGCTAGTACTATTCAGAGTAGACCCACTGAAGTTAGTGGACTTGGGTTCATTATTTTCAACAGGTCTACTCCAAGTAGGATTTAGCTGCACAACCCTCTGCTCTAGTTTTTGGTTTTTTACCTGCTTGGGCAAGAACTGGTTGGCAGTCAACAAAACATGCACAGAAGAGATCAAGGTTATACAACACTCGCTGGCAGCATCTCAGGGCTCTGTAGCCATGCCAGTTATCCATCATCAGGAGTGGGCAGTGCTTTACTTACTTTATAGAAAAGCAAACAAATGGCATGCTTCCTGTTCAAGTTTCCTCTCGGGACGTAATTCTCAAGGAAAAGCATTATAGCTGTGATTTGGTTTGGCAAATGAATGTACAGTGGTACCTCGCAAGACGAATGCCTCGCAAGACGAAAGGGTTTTTTGTTTTTTGAGCTGTTTCGCAAGACGATTTTCCCTATGGGCTTGCTTCGCAAGACGGAAACGTCTTGCAAGTTTGTTTCCTTTTTCTTAACACTGTTAATACAGTTGCGACTTGACTTCGAGGAGCAGTGTGGTAGCCTTTTTTGAGGTTTTTGAAGACTTTGGTGATTTTTGAAGCTTTTCCAAAACTTTCCCGAAACCGTGCTTCGCAAGACGAAAAAAATCGCAAGACGAAAAAACTCGCGGAACGAATTAATTTCGTCTTGCGAGGCATCACTGTACAAGATAGGCAAGCAAGTTCTAACCAACACTTGAAAGACACAGGATAGGATACAAATGTCCCTGCTAAGTTACCATATCATAGGACTTTGACTCTCTAGCTCAGTGTTTCCCAACTAAGGTCTTGAGCTGTTTTTGGACTACAACTCCCATCACCCCTAGCTAGCAAGACCAGTGGTGAGGGGTGGGTGGGAACTGTAGCCCCAGCTGGAGACCCAAGTTTGGGAAACACTGCTGTAGATGTTCACAGAGTCGTAGATTGGAGAGTTGGAAGGGACCCTGAGAATCATCCAGTCCAACCCACTGCAATGCAGGAACAAGCAGCTCTCCCCATATGGCGATCAAACTTGTAACCTGGGGATTATCAGCACCATGCTCTAACCAATGGAGCTATTCAGGCTACGACTCCAATCATTCCTAAGCATTAGTTATGCTAGCTGAAACTGATAGGAGTTGCAAATCCAGCACCATCTGGAAGTGCATAGGATCTCCATTCCTGACTACAACAGAGCCTCTTGCAGTCTAGCTACCATAAAGAAGTACAGTCAAACCTTGGAAGTCGAACGGAATCTGTTACGAAAGTCTGATTAAAACGTTCAGAAACCAAAGCGCGGCTTCTGATTGGCTGCAGGACGTTTGGTTTCCAAAAATAGTTTGCAAACCAGAACAGTCACTTCCAGGGTTGCGGCATTCGGGAGCCAAAACGTTCGAGAACTAGGCTTTTTGAAAACCAAGGTACGGCTGTATCATAAATGTGAATGCAAATATGAATGCTTTAAAAAGAACTCTCGCCCAATATAAAGAAAATCTTATTGAACCATACAGTCATACCTCTTCTTGCGAACGCTTCATGTTGTGTTTTTTCGGGCTAAGAATGCGGCAAACCCAGAAGCGTTTACTTCCGGGTTTCGCCGCTCACACACAGAAACGTTCTGCGCTGTTTGCACATGCGCAGAAGCGTTCTGTGCAGTTCGTGCATGCACAGAAGCACTCTATAGCACTTCGCACATGCGCAGAAGTGCCACTCTGGTTACGGACTTTTCGGGGTACTAACTGCACCCCGGAACGAATCGTGTCCTCAACCAAAGGTACCACTGTTTATGAGTTTTAGTCAATCACGTTCCAAATCTGCCTAGGTTTACATGCAAGAGGGAAAAAATAGTCCTAAAGGAGGAAGACATGATCTCTGTGTTACTGTGTGATAAATACAACTGTTGCAGCGGGCACTGTCTTAAAAGAGAACCATTCTGCCCCTTTTCACACACAGGATCCTCATCTGTAATTTTTACTACGTATATCATCATAATTTAAAAACTCTGCCAAATTAATTAGAGACATGGTTTTAGGAGTCAATCAAAATGCATGTGCATGTTTTCTAACCAACTAACTAAACGTTGCAGCGTTAACTTACCTCGATTCCGATTTCAAATCCGCCACCAAGGCCAGCTATCCCGATGGCAGACGGAGCTGACCAGACTGGAAGAGAAACAGAAACACACTGTGAACATGCAGAGCGTTTTACTTTAGAACTGAACAAGATTGGCAGGTGCAACAGGGAAAGAGGATGCCGCTGCATTAGACTCTCGTATTTGAAGTTCATTTGCAAATAATCCAATGCCATTCCGCAACGCTTTATTCACAAAGAAAAAGAACTTCGAAGGAAATCGCTTCATACAGTTCAGGCATTTCTACAACGCTGAATTTTTTGTTCCAATGCTGACTTGCAAATGAAAGACTGCACGTTCAAACAAAATATGTATGTAATATAATACGTAGGTCATTTTGAAGAGCATGATACAAATGTCTATGTCAAAGTGTGCCGAGGAAAGCTGGAAGCTGTTCTTCAAAATGTTTTATTTCGCTCCCAGTTTTGAATCTCATGCACAGCTGTAGAAACTACAAAATCCAGACAGTTTTGGTAAAATTTAGAAGGCTCGAGTAAGGCAAGTCACATCATGTGCTACATACACCACTGAAAAATAAACAAGCCACAAACTATTGTTTGGGAATCTTAACAGGAACTAAATTCCTTTCAAACCCTCCATTAGCTTCTGCCAGCCACTAATTGTCAGACTATCTGCCGTGTCAATAGAAGGAAGTGTGGCAAGTTGAGAGACGCTACTGTCTCATTATCTAATGTCCTATTATTCTTCATAAAATGTGTCCATGCTGGTTTTTGCGACTGAGGTCCTATGTTTATGTCTTAGGGGCTGGCCACTGAGAGAATGGGATGCTGGACTCAGGCCTGCCCCAAGACATTTTGGCACCTGGTAAAGGGTAAAGAGACCCCTAACCATTAGGTCCAGTCGTGACTGACTCTGGGGTTGCGGCGCTCATCTCGCTTTATTGGCAGAGGGAGCCGGCACAGCTTCCGGGTCATGTGGCCAGCATGACTAAGCCGCTTCTGGCGAACCAAAGCAGTGCACCTTCCTGCCAGAGTGGTACCTATTTATCTACTTACACTTTGATGTGCTTTCGAACTGCTAGGTTGGCAGGAGCAGGGACTGAGCAATGGGAGCTCACCCCGTAGTGGGGATTCGAACCGCGACCTTCTGATCACCAAGTCCTAGGCTCTGTGGGCCACAAAACAGCACCCTCCACCAGGGAAGAAGGGATGAGTGAAGATCTACCCATCAGGAATGAGGAGAGGAATAAAGATCTACATCGGGAACAAGGGTGGAAGGAGACCAGCAGCCTCTCCTATTCACCAAGAGGCCGTTGCAGAGGTGGCATTTGGGCTGCCAATGACAGAGCAGATCTGGCCTCAAAGGAGAGCACCACAGATGTCGCTGCAACTGCGGCAACAGGTGATGCATTCCTACTCCCTTGGCATCCTGCCTCCTGAGGCGATTGCCTCGCCTTGCCTCATGGGCAGGCCGGCCCTAGCTGGACTAGATGAGCCATTGGTTTGATCCAGTAGGAACTTCTTATGTTCTTAAGACAGTTCCAAGGATGTCACAAGGCATCTATTACAGGAAGAGGGAACTTGTAGCCCCTCTAGATGTTGTTAGATTACAACTCCTATCCTCTCTCACCACAGCTTATGCGACCTGGGGCTGATAGGAACCTATCACCTGGAGAGCCACAGAGGTAAATATACTTCTTCTAAAAGAAACATGGAGCTGCTCATTTTTAGTCACTGGAACTAACCGAACAGGACTCTCACGTACAGGAATGCTCCCATTATGTAATCCGCAGTGTTTTCAAAACAGCAAACTGCAAGCTGCTTTTTATGACCAAGTACAAAGGGAACGTTTGTTTGCGAGCTATTCTTCGGAGATTACAGAAGAGCTCAGTGCCTGCCAGCAAAAGGACACAGATATGTGCCTTTGAAACATGCCTCCACCAGCAAGACAATTCTTTCTCAGTTTTAGGATTTTTGTTTTCAATGAGAGCCTTCACACAAACTGATCTGCTGGAGGATTCTTTGTGTGAATGGGTGTCAAGGTGCTTGTTGACCAGAGAAGCCTTTTCCAACCTGGTGCCCGTACTATGTTGCTAAGGCTACAGCTCCCACTATCCCTGACAATTGGCCAAGAGGGCTAAACAGATAGAATCATAGAGCTGGAAGGGACCACAAGGGTCATCTAGTCCAACCCCTTGCAATGCAGGGATATTTTGCCAATGTGGGCATCAAACTTGACCCTGGATTAAGAGACACATGCTCTATGAACTGAGCTGATTGGAAGGAGGCAAGTGAGATGTGTGTTAAGACTCCAGTAATATCTGGAGGGCACCAGGTTGGAAAATCTGGTCTAGGGAATAGCACCCAGTTCTGTACTTTAACTTCACTATTACGCTCCATTGACATCATGAGATTGATTTCTTTTTGTACAACTGAATAAACCCTGATAGAATGGTCTAACCTTCTCTGCCTACCCCCTATCTTCCCATTTTTATAATGTATAAATATACTCAGCCAGATAATCAGATGAACAGACACATACTTCAAAGTAGTGAAATTTGGGACAGGGGCCTAAGACTCAACATTCAGCTGGGAGGGTAGTTGCCAGATATGCCCGATTCATAATAGCTCACAATTTCATCCCACTGGACATGCAGGCCCTGTTGAAGCTTGAAAAACTCTCGGCATCTCTTTTTGCATGCAGAAGCATTTGGACTGCTTTAAAAGGAGGAAAGGGCAAACTTACTTCCGTTAGGGAGGCGAGCCAGAACGATCCCACTGCCTCCTCGAGCTGTTACCAAAAACCCAGCTTTGATTACAGACAAGACTGCAAGACCTTTTGCTTTGGCAATTACATGGGCTGCAAATAATGAAATTAAACAGTTAGATATTATGGAGGCAAAAGAACCAATACTAGGGTTGCTGTATTTCCAGAGGTAAACATCTGGGCAAAAAAAGTTGTTGAGCCACCAAAAAGAGGACATGACCAGGATTTCCTGGACATATGGCAACCCTATCCACTCCGAATTAGGGGGGAGAGCTTTTTTCATTTAATTAAGCTATTATGCAGAGACCTGACACTTTGAGGCAAAATTTTGCTTTGATACTGTACTCTTGATCAAGGAAGTCAATGAAGTCTGAGGGACAGACTTTAGTTTTACTTTCAAATCTGGGACCAATGGGCAAGTTAGTTTTGAAGCTTGCCCTTCTCTGTGTGATGCTGATTACTAAAAGCAGAGAGGCAGGAAAGGAATAACCAGATTGCCATTTAACTGGCATTTTACGGGGACCAAAATGTTCAAAAACCAAATCGCTGTTTCTGATTGGCTGCAGGAAGCCCTGTCGGACGTTCAGGTTCCAAATGAACGTTCGCAAACCGAACAATCACTTCCGGGTTTGCGGCATTCGGGAGCCAAAACGTCTGAGTTTCAGGTGTTCAGGGTGTGCGAGGTACGACTGTACATTGCAAATGAATTTGCAGGACATGACTTGGACCACTGCTTTTTCCTAGACTGCGATACCAGCTTTTTTCCGGGAAACAGTTTATAGAAAGCTGGGATTGCAAAATGTAACAGGGGCTTTAAAAAAGAGAAAATCTGCACACAATCCATTTCATGTTACCAAATGCAGATCCCAGGCCTTTAATCAGGTGAACTCACAAAGACAAGACTAGAGGGGAAACTTAGCTCTAGAAAGAACAAACAAACTGAAGTTGTGAACAACAAGATGAAAAACTCTCTTTTACTAACCAGGTATGATCTTGTCAGGGCCATTTCTAGAAGTGATTTCTGTAAATTCTCTTAAAATCTTAGCTGCCTTCTTTGCTTCCGACTTCAAATTGGAAGGTATAGGGTTATTCACTGAAAAGGAGGGGAAATATAAAGGAGTATTGTAAACAAAGCACGAATATTTCAAAAGGGGTTATGAAGCATCTGTTAGTTCCAAGAGCTGGTAACATTTGTTGCATCCCTAACAATCTGGTACAAATGTCTTGCTTAGTAACACCATATAATGCTACCACTATCTCCTCCATTATCAGCATAAAGACATGACTGTGGAGAATCATTCCACAGTACAATTTGCTATTTTTGAGTATTGAGCCTATGGAGAAATGACACATTCTTTCACCAGTAGCTCTGAAGCGTGTGTCAAGCTAAATAAAAAATTGATCCAATTTCATTCCACCAATGAGCAACCAAGAGATGCAGCAGGCAACATTAAAATGCAGATAAGTTCCAGCAAAGGGACTTACTAGCTGATGGCTTTGGAGTGATTATGCCACAGCTGAATCAAGAATGATGACATCGAACCTTACGTGAGTCAGGCATATGACAGAACAGGAAAACAGGCAGGTTTCTAAAAGAAGCTTGAAGTCTGTAATTAGAATTCTGACAAACAGTGCTGTGTTGGTTGAATATCTCTGCAAAGTAGAGGCTCTCACTGCATATCAAGATGGTTTAAATAAATAAGGTTCCACTGCAATCTCCATTAGCCCAAGGGGGGGAAAATCATATTCTTTTGGGTCCTCTTGAAATGCTTTATAAATACCTGTCCTTCATTGCTGTCACAAGAATAAAAATGTAAATCATGATGCCTATGGAGCACAAAACCTATTGTTAGTAGCCAAATTGTTTACATTCCATCCATCCATCCACAATGGACCTAAGTATTATTAAACATTAAGCCACTTAAAAGCATGGGCACTTAGGCTGAGCTATAAAGGTTAAAACATTTTATCTGTATTACTGAGGTGTTAAAAGTTACTGAGGAGCAAAAGTAAATATGTGAATAGCTTAGGTGGCAGAACCATTAGATTTTTTGGCGTAGCCTTGAAATACTTTTCACCTAAGGAATGGTTGCAGAAACTTTATTCATTTAACACAGTGCCATCATTGTGCATTGCGCTTGCAGCATAGGAAAGGACAGGAGTATTTCTTGAGGAGCTTACAATCTAACAAGATACACAGCAGAGAGGCCACAGGGGAAGAATGTGCTATCATGAAGTTGCATGCATTTAAGGCTTAGTTTAGTCTCACTAATGCATGAGCAGATTGCAACGAAGACTTCACCAAGGCAGCAGGTTTTGCAGGAGGGATTTGAAGAGAAAGAGGTGACCTCACAGAGAATAGTTTGTCATCAATACAATGCAAACATCTGCCTTAGTTTTAGTCCTCAAGAGAAGTTAAAAGGAATGACTGATGGTAGCAGGATAATACAGGCAGCGCACATGAGAGCTGGTAAAGATTTTTCAAGTATTAACAGAAGCCCTGTTGAGCATAGGATTGCAGTCACAGAATGTGAAATAGTTGGGGAATTTTTAAATTCCTCTGACTTAGATCCAAATGAGAAACTCAAAACACTGCCAACCCTATACAATGGAGTAATCAATCCATAAACAAACACTGTGTAAGATATTATGAGTTAACAAAGATCCACCCAGTAAGATAACAGAAGGCAAAACTAATCTGCTCATAATTTCTCAGGTGAAATATTTCTCAAAATTAATATACAAGCAGCTATTAGATACAAGGTCAGCTGTGTCCAAAATAAGGAGCCAGAAAGATAGGAGAGCATGAGATATCAAGAATGGAGAAAACTCCCTCCAATGAAATTGCTCAGCACAACTAAATCTGGAGCAAGGATTGGGTGGAAGATAGTCTTGTGAACGCACTGTGCCAATCAAGTTATCATTTGAGTACCTCTGAGGTCTCCCTTCTTTTGTTCATGAAGAAGGAGGGTGTCATCAAGAAGTCTTGCACAAAAACATGAACACAGCAGGTGGAAAGAATTTATACCCCAGCACAACAAACCTGACTTGCAAAACTTTCTTATCAGCAATAGAGAGAGAGAGCGCGCGCACCATCAAGATGGTTTGTTGGAAATCTGGCTGCACATGGTTATCAGAGTTTAATTACATTTCCAATTATACTTTCAAACTGTACAACGCCACAATCATAGTACACTGGTACCTCGGGTTACATATGCTTCAGGTTACAGACTCCGCTAACCCAGAAATATTACCTCGAACTTTGCTTCAGGATGAGAACAGAAATCATGAAGCAGCGGCGCAGCGGCAGCAGGAGGCCCCATTAGCTAAAATGGTGCTTCAGGTTAAGAACAGTTTCAGGTTAAGAACAGACCTCCAGAACGAATTAAGTTCTTGACCCGAGGTACCACTGTACTGAGTAAATACCCGCCTTTTTAAAACATCACATACAAGCTACACAAAAGGCACAGGTTTTAATCAGTTGTTATAAGTTCAGTTTTATGTTTGCTATGGGAACGGTGCAACCTTATCATTGGACACACAAAGTGATATATAGAGGCAAAACAGTAATGAAATGCAGCCCTGAATCTCTTTTCAGGCAAGTCCTCAGGGAATCTAACAATCCTACCTACAACTACTCAGAAAAAGTCACGTTAAGTTCAGTGGGGCTTGCTCCTAGGTAAGTGGGTACAGGATTTCAGCCCAAATGACAAAACATTATCCGAAGGATTTTATGAATCTCATGGCAAATTACCTTCATATTTGAAACAGCTTGAAATGAGCCTCTAAGTACGCACAGACTGAACTCCCCATCCTCCCCCTAAGCAGGATAATCTTGCTGAATGAAAGCTAAAGGGTAAAATAATATGACAGCAGCTGAGCAGAAGAGGAGAATGAAAATATTTGCTTGAATTTACCTCTTTTAAAGTGGCTGCATACAGATACAGAGATATTAGATGACTGCAATATTTTGGAGAAGCAAAACCAAAAAGGAAAGCAATGCTAAGAAGCATGTAACCTTCAAGTAATTCAGGCTTTCAGACAATGTTTTTGTAGCAGTCAAGTGTCCACATATGCAACAGAGGACAGCTGTGGCCCTAGCTTCTGGTATCTCCAGGTAAACTGGGGGGGGGGGACCTTTCCTCAAACCCTTGACAACTGCTGCTAGTCAGTGTAGACAATGCTGAGTTAGACAAAGCCAAAGGCCTGACTTGGTAAAATACGCTTTCTCTTCTTAAATTGCTTTTTATCAATTTGCTAAACAGTTATCAAGGCGGAATGCAGAGCTTGGTAAGTGAGAAAAATATATAGCAGCTAAAGACTGCAGTCACTTTTGTTCCAACATAGGCAGTCAACTAAAGGTGTTGCTCCATAGTGTTGCATGTGATATAACGTATGGAAACAATGATCAACCAATTTTACCAAGCCAATAAAGGCACACCATGCTTTATAGAAAGTGTCTGAGGTTTTTGTTTTGTTTTGGATGCAATTCTCCTTTTGTATATGGTTAAGTTGTCCCTAAGAATGATGTCCCATACTTGCGAGATCTAAGCTTTGAAGAGGTTTGTATTTAGAGATTTCCAATACTGTAGTTTGCTATCACTAATTTAGTTCTGTAAGTGCAAAGTACGATGCTTATTAGTTATATCTTGGTTCTGTAGAGTAAAATAAGATACCAAAGCCTATTTTGTGTCTTGTTGCATGGACTGCCTAGTATGGATACAAATATTATTTATTAGGTGTAGCGGAAACCATTACAAAACAAAATACACAAAACAAAATAAAATAAATTACACAATTATCAATAATTATTATAACCAGGCATTCTGTCAGATAAGAGTAGATGGTGGTGAGAAGGCTTGTTTTGAGCTCTGTGGCTTGTTTTTAGCTCAATTATTTTAAAAACTGCAGTTCCAGCTCTTTTTTGTTAACTGCTTTGAGGTTTTCTTCTACAACCAAGATACAGTATAAATAAATTTTATGAAATAAATAAATAAAATTGCATGGCCTCCCTATTTAAGGGGAAATGAATGCGGAAATACAGCTTTAGCATTATAAAACAGCATACTAACATTTAAAAAGCCCAGGTAGTATGTTTCCTGTGCTGCAGGAAAATGGGAGGTCAGGAAAAAACGAGACAAGCACCTCAGAACAAACCTTTGCATGATACTCCAACTCAAGGTTAGCTTTATCTGAAAACAGATCACAGGCATTTTAGCAAGTAGTGAAGATATAAGTGACCTACTCTGCAGAAAACAAGGACATGAGAAATGTCATATCTGACTGCTTTTAGTTCTCTTAACCTTGCAGGCTGCATATCATACTTTGGGAGGGCAACTGATGCAAGTGTTGCCAATAGGATTTCACATGCAAAACCCCTTATTTGTATTCAGAATACAGTACACACATTTCAGTTTATTCAATGGAGTCAACATTGTTACATTCCCTCTGCTCCCTTAGACTGAGAGTTTGAGTTGTCTTCTCAACAAAGTTTGTAAACCACTCTGCAATACTTACTCACTACTCCATTTGTGCCCTGCTCTTCAGCCAAAAAGCCTCTAAGAGAGGCTTACATTGAAACATTCTGAATTGCAATATCAAAGCCACAGATTTCAGAGAAAAGGAGAGAACATTGACCACAGCTAGACATGTTGGCTTTTGTAGGTTTATGATGGATACTTAGTTTTAAAAATTTAATAAAAATCAATTTATCCTAACAGCCAAGAACAACAATTACCAAAATTCACCAAGCAACAGTTCTTCACCATCACCCTTCTAGGTCCCAAGGTACATGCAGAGGAAAATAAGTGAGTGCAGGCACAGTGATTTAGAACACTTCCTTTGGATTGGATTTCCTGGTTACTTTTGACACCATGGCAAACTCTTTTGTCACTGGCAAAAAAAAACCCTATAGCTGGTCACAGCAGATGGAGAAATTCATGACTTTATTGTAGCAGTGATTTAACCCTCCATTAGCTTCTGCTAGCCACTACCGGTAATTGTCAGACTATCTGCCATGTCAATAGAAGGAAGTGTGGCAAGTGGAGAGATGCTACTGTATCATTATCTAATGTCCTATTATTCTTCGTAAAATGTGTCCACGCTGGTTTTTGCGACCGAGGTCCTGTGTTTATGTCTTAGGGGCTGGCCACTGAGAGAATGGGATGCTGGAATCAGGCCTGCCCCAAGACGTTTTGGCACCTGAGTGGGCCACAAAACAGCACCCTCCACCAGGGAATAAGGGGTGAGTGAAGATCTACCCATCAGCAACGAGCAGAAGAATAAAGATCTACATCGGTAACAAAGGTGGGAGGAGACCAGCAGTCCCTCCTATTCAACAAGAGGCCGTTGCAGAGGTGTCCAATAATAATAATAATAATAATAATAATAATAATAATTGTATCCCACCCATCTGACTGAGAATAAAAATAGGAATATAATAACACATATTAATGAAACATAAATGGGGATTTTGGCTAGCTTGCACCTATTCAGTCCAACAACAACAACAACATTATTTGTAACCCACCCATCTAACTGGGAATAAAAATCGGACTATAATAACACACATGTTAATACAACATAAATGGGAATTTTGGCTAGTTTGCACCTATTTATTATTATGATAATAATAATGCAGTACCCTGCCCACCTGACTGGGATTTGTGGACCGCTTCCTGTGTGTGTGTGTGTGTGTGTGTGTGTATGGGACTATATTCCATATAAATATACCATTACACATTACAATCATCTTTTGACTGAACAAGAAACATAAAACAAACATAAAACAAAAACTGGACTCCGAGTCTGTGACTTACACTAGTGCAGTCCTATTAATTTATCAGTGGACCTGTTTCACTCTTTTTAAATAATGATTTATTATTTATACCCCGTGCATCTGGCTAGGTTTCCCCAGCCACTCTTTTAAAGATTTGCAAGCCCCTCATGTGGGGAAAAAACTGGACTTATAGAACTAGACAGGGAAGAACTAGGGAACCTTGGGGAATAAATATGGGCAAGACTTTTTCCAAAAACTCAGTTTCCACTCTCCCCCCCCCCACCTTCCAAATTCCCACCTCCCTCATATCCACACCAAGCAAACATACTTACTGCTTCCAGGAAGGTACCATCCACACCCACCCCTGGCTTGGGAAAGCCTCGGGAGTATCTACAGCAATGCAGCCAACCACTCGCGACAGAAACTATCCCTGCGTTCCACTCTAAAGACCCCGCCTCGTAAGAGGCAGCTGCTGCTCACCTGGAGCAGGTGCATGGGCGGGCGTGAGGCGCGATAGTCGTCTAAACCACGCGCCTGATTTTCTTTATCTAACGTTGGAATCGAAGCCGCGAAAGAGAGCTCGGGGCCGTCAACTCCTGAAAGGGAATTAAAAAAATAAAAATGATTTCAACTTTATTTCGTATCCTTCACATTTCGCCCTCCCCCCCCCCCGCCACTCAGGCATTATACGAGACGGCCGTCGGCTGCCGTAAAGCGGGAAGGGCGGCTTTTCGCGACAGTTGCGAGGGCCTCCGAACTGCCTCTTTCGCTGCTCGGTCCTGTTGGCGGTTCCTGAAAGAAAGAGAGAGAAAGAAAGAGAGAGAGAGAGCATGGCGGCCGGGGAAGCTAAGTCCGTTTTATTCGTTTGCCTGGTGAGTGGAAAGTGGGGGTGGAGAATGGGGAGGTAAAAATAAAAAATGCATGGGTTTTCATTATTATTCTTTCTATGTGTTTGGAAACCGCCAGAGTGGGTAGTTGTAGTAGTGGTAATAGGAAGAAGAAGAAGAAGATAGAAGAAGAAAGAAGAAGAAGAAGAAGAAGAAGAAGAAGAAGAAGAAGATAATAGTATATAATAATAATAATAATAGGAAGTGTTTATGGCAAGCTAACAAAATATGTTTCATGGACTGGAATACAAAAATGTGCTGCACATTCATATATTCAGTTTCTCTATCTTTAAGCTGTCCTGTTTCCTCCCTCAATACAGTGGTACCCGGTTCGGTTACAGTACTCTCAGGTTACAGACTCCATTTAACCAAGAAAATAGTACCTCGAGTTAAAACTTTGCCTTCAGGATGAAAACAGAAATCGCACAGCAGCGGCGCAGCGGCAGCAGGAGGCCCCATTAGCTAAAGCGGTGCTTCAGGTTAAGAACAGTTTCAGGTTAAGAACGGGACCTCCGGAACGAATTAAGTACTTAACCCGAGGTACCACTGTATATCAGAAGAGCTAAGCCAGGAGCAGCTAGAAGAGCCACGGCATTCTTACTTGTGAAGAAAGAGATGGGCAGCCAGAGTGGGAATCCAGTGTTACCACTAAATCTCTTAAAACTTGTACATACAAGAGCTGCCTAGAAGCGGAAAACATTTACATTTGGAAGTAGGACAGAAGGCTGCCATGCTCTCTGTGGTGATAGAAGGAGACTGTTTTACATAACACCACCTCTCCCCTGGCTTTATAATTACAGTGGTAATCTATTACTCAATGCGTTTTGGGAGGGGGTCTGTAACTTGGCAGACAGAGAGAGAAGGCCTGAAATACAGGACAAATCTGTCAATACAGGACTCAGCATTTTACATCTGAAATGCGGAAACAATCCTGTTTTACAGGACAGGTGGCAAACCTACTTTCTGATGATCTCCTGGTTCAGATCTTCACCTTCCCTTTGTTGGCACTGGCAGAACTATGTTTATCCTAGTAATGGGAAGGGGCATTGGTGGAGTTTAGTGGTTTCCCACCACCATCACCTCCCCTGAGGAATGGCTGAGTTGGAAGGTAAGAATACAACTTGGATACTAGGGCTGGGTGATACCTTGTTTTCAACATCACAAATATATCACCAGCTAAATATATGATATCTTGATAGTATTCACGATATATTATCTGCCGTGCGGAGGGCCTTTGCTGCCCCCCACCGAGGGCAGAGGGTCCCACCATACCCTCCTGCAGTGGTGGCCATGAGAAAGCCTTGCCAGGCTCTCCTCATGGGCCAGCAACGAGGGTGCCCACCCTTAACATTCCCTGTGGTAAGCAGTGGGCTCCAAGTGTGTGAGGGCTTATTCTTTCATTTCTTAATTGGTTAGGACAGAGGAATGGGAGAGAGCAAAACAAAGCTGGAGACACCAGTGCCTGCATAGTTATGTGCCTGCAATTTATCTGCAAAGTATCGTTCCACTGAGGAATGGGAATGTTATTAAGTTTCAGCTTTTATTTCACCGGTACATGTCCTATGTTTACATTGATTTGCAAAAATATAAAGCTGGTCAAATATCACTTAGCCTCTGCTTTTGGTTTTGTAATAGGAGTAGTGGATATTCTTTACATAGCAGACTATAAGGTACTTTAATACTTGAAGAGTAACATGTCTGTGGATCTCTTGTTGGTGTACAGTACATGTGAGAAATAAATGGGAAGGGTAACAACAGAAATGAAGGCTGTATGCTGCTACATTGCTCAGAGAGTACCACTGAATTATGGGGGCTTACTCCAAAGTGCATAGCTTTGCTTTAATATTCCTGTTTGGTCCCTAGGGCATCACTGGTGTAGGAAGGACTCCATCTGCCCCAGTGCTGCCCTGGGGAGCGAAAAAAAAGCATCTCTTTATCTTGGCAAAAAATTCTCCACAGGCATGCTGTCATTTTAGGAGGCTCTTAGAGAGAGATATCTCTCTCGGGATTCCTCAGGTTCAGCCTCCAAGTCCGAATCCCAGGCCATCACATGGGCACCCACTCATGCAACAGGAGTTCTCCTTCCTCTCCTCTCCATTATAGTCCTATAGCAGATTGGGGGCACATAGGAGTCAGGAGGGGAGGGGAACAGAGAGACCAGAAGTCTGTTGCACAAGTGATTTTCCATTGCACAAGGAGCCTTCCACAACCGGATTTCCCCTAAGATTCTCCACTCCTGAACCAGTATATGAATATGAATGTATATATGTATATATATACATTCATATATATATGAATGTATATATATGTATATATGTAGATGAATATACATGTGCATGTATTGAGATGAATATACATGTGCATGTGTTGAGGCTCCAATACTTTGGCCACCTCATGAGAAGAGAAGACTCCCTGGAAAAGACCCTGATGTTGGGAAAGATGGAGGGCACAAGGAGAAGGGGACGACAGAGGATGAGAAGGTTGGATAGTGTTCTCGAAGCTACAAACATGAGCCTGACCAAACTGCGGGAGGCGGTGGAAGACAGGAGTGCCTGGCGTGCTCTGGTCCATGGGGTCACGAAGAGTCGGACACGACTAAACGACTCAACAACAACAACAACAACAACAACATACATGTGCATATACTCTACTATGTGGTGGTTTTGCGCAGAGCATGCGTGCAAGTCGGGCTACCCAAGTTTCATAATGTGGTGGTTGAAAGGACTGATCCATTACTCACAATGCCCTTAAATAATCCTTTCCTTTCTCTTCTTTGAGTTGTAAAGGCTGAATAGCAATGTCACTTTGCATTATTTATAAAAAGACACAACATGTTTATTGTACATCTGGATCACAGCCGTCTCTCCGTACATAACTCTGCCATGATGCAATAACATGATCCTTCAGCTCAGAACTCTTACCGTCATGAAGCAAAGCCACACTCACACATTGCACAGTTTGCATGTTGGACTGTGTTTTGGAGCCAGTTTATCCTAAGGCTTATGTTTATAATGATTATAAAACACCATCTTTTGTAGTTCTTTTTGGCGAGTTTGCTAGTCCCGAATATGGCATTTGCTTTTTATTTCTAATAGTTCTCTTGGCTTGCTCCAGTTTACTTTATTTGATGCCCTTTAGTGTGCAGCAATGGCAAAAGAGGCAAATTCCTTCCATTTTAGGAACTATTAGGAAAGCATTTGAAAATAAAACCGACAGCGTCGTAATGCCTTTATACTAATCTATGGTGGGGTGGTAATGTTTGGAATTCTGTGTACAGATCCACTGACCTCATTTCAAAAAGTATATTGTAGGGCTGGAAAAGATGCCAAAAGCAAAGAGGGGAGGAGGACAGCAGAACAATCAGGTGGGGTGGAGAGCCTTCTGTACAAGGAAAAGTCAATGCCTTTGGAGGTTTTAGTTCAGAGGGGAGAAAATCTGATTTACTGGAGGAATATGGCTGAGTTTTATAGTATGGTGTGGAGAAAATGGACATAATGTATATGTATTTTTCTCCTCCTGCGCCACTGGAACCAATAAAATGGATTAGCAGTACAGTGGTACCTCGGGTTAAGTACTTAATTCTTTCCGGAGGTCCGTTCTTAATCTGAAACTGTTCTTAACCTGAAGCACTACTTTAGCTAATGGGGCCTCCTGCTGCTGCCATGCAGCCGGAGACGATTTCTGTTCTCATCCTGAAGCAAAGTTATTAACCTGAGGTACTATTTCTGGGTTAGCGGAGTCTGTAACCTGAAGCGTATGTAACCCGAGGTACCACTGTAGTTTCAAGATTAAAACAAACAAAAGTACTCACAAATTCACCACCATGGTGATGGGTTGTGATTCTGATGGCCTTAAAAGGTGATTATTCACAAGGGAAATGGCTGTGAGAACTCAATGGGATCTCCAAATTGAGAGCCAGTTTATGCTTCTGAATGCCAATTGCTGGGAGGCAAATAATGAAGGAGAATTGATGGTCTTCATTATCTACTTGTGGGATTTCTGGAATCATCTGAATGGCCCCTCTGCTGATCAGCTGCCGGAACAACCCAACAGTGAAAACTAAAGACATTTCCCTCCTCTTGTGTCTCTCTTTTCTGCCTGCTACAACCACTCTTTCTCTTCCATTATTATGATGATCATGCTTGGATACATCCTCCCACTCCATCTGTCAAAACTTGCTTCTTGTCATTCGCTATGCATCACAGGCTGTGGAACTGGACTCCAGTCTGATTGGGAGCTCAGGACACCAGTGCAGCCAACCTTCATCCAAGTTCTTTCAAAGTTCCGTCCATGGTCAGATTCACTTAGCTTGGAAATCTGAACAGTATCAGACCCTTCATCCCATCCTCTGAGGCCTGACTAGTCTTGGCTTTCTTTCATGAGAGGTTGGTACACTGTTGAAACCTATCATTTGACTTGTCACTCATGACCAGGGACCTTGAGAAACTGTGAGAAGCGTATTGCTATACACTACATCCATCCTTCATTAGGATCTTCTCGTATCCTCTAGGTTTAGGGTTCTTCCTGCCCAGTGCTGTTTTTTCTTGGAAAAGAGGTGCCGGAACTGACCATGAACACCTCCCTCGT